GCACCCCCTATATCCTAATTAGCTGCACAGGCAGCTTGTTATGTAAAGCGCGACAGAGCTCTCTGCGTAGGACTGTTACATCACCCCCTTCTAAGGCAGTCTTGTCCCTAAGACTAGGTAGTTTAGCGCCTCTACATTAGTCTTTAAACTAGTTAAGACCTTAACATAAGTTAATTATTAACTTTTATAGGTTCTATATTTTTACCTTTTTTATACGCTTATAACTAGGCGTCTAGTCGCGCTAGCAGACTAGGCTTAGTAGGATATGCTTAGTAGAAGTCCCTTACCTTATGCAGAGCTCTAAGAAATCTGTTAGCATTATACTAGGTAGGGTTAGGATTATAGCCTACCTATAAGGCTTAGTATTAGAGACGCCTGCAGTAGACGTAACTATCTAGAATGTTCTAAACCTGCTACTTAGGGTAACTGTTAACCTTAATTAGCTCTTCTAGGGGCTTAACCTAACCTAGCAGTGTTGTAGGTGCTGCCCGCTATAGGCAGTCTGTGTAGAAGATGTTATGCATTCTTATGTATAGGGGGAGCTTAAGCTAGTACAAATAACCTCTTATGCCTATAATTAGATAGGGCCTATACATCTGCTAGTTAAGCTTCTAGCTAGGGCGCCCTATAGTAAAGCCCTTAGAAGTTATGTATACCTTATTACCTACTATAAAGTTAGGCTTATGCTACTTTTTATTTACCTAAGCTGCTTACTACTTTTAGGCTTAAGTAATGCCTTTTCTTATAATCTTAATTACTTATTATATAGTGTTATAGTAGAGCTTAGCATAGCTCTAAGCTTTCTTATGTAAAATCTGCTTTAGCGCAGTTAGTAAGCGTCTTATATATGCCTTCTAGTTCTAGTAGTGTGTTAGATAATAGCTAAACTTAATTTTAAACAGTAATAACCCTATTGTCTTATGCAGTAGAGATGCTTAAGCCTAGTCTATGCAGGGCAGTAGGTCTAACTAGTTGTCTTAGAAGTAATTAACAAATAGACATAGTTGCTAGTTAATATACTAATTTAGCACCTCTATGTTGCTGTTAGTTTAAGGATAGTAGAGCATAAAGAGCTTTTATTTAACACTAGTAAGGCAGCAAAGCTTGTCTATAAATGCAGAGGTAAACTATAGTCTGCAGTTAAAGACAATTAATTAAGAGAGTCTATAGACGCGCTAGATATAGCAATAGTATAGGTCTGCAGCCCTTACAGTAGTAATAGTCTTATAGCATAGCAGTAAGAAGCAGCGCTTGCTTAGATAGTCTACTATAATAAATATGTTATTATAGCTAGCTTAATTAAGTAGGAACAACTTAAAATTTATAAAGATGTCCTGCTATGCTTACTTAAGTATTAGTAGTAGCTTAAAGAGCTCTAGAGTCTTATCTTAAAAGATATAGCTCTACTAACAGGCCTTATAGGCGCTAATGTAGGTCTTAACATCTTAGCTTATACTTAGCTAGTAGTACTGCTTGTGTAGCAGCTTAGTTATTTTCTTAGTTCTAGGATGTG